CCCCTATTATTATTGTTGGAGGTTTTTAGTCTTGATAATTTGACAGTCACAAATAGTACCTCTTTTTTTGATTTTGAGCATTTTTAGATATTTAGTGTTAGGGTGATCTTTGCAATATGTTAGGGTAGCCTTAGTCACAGACTGTGAAAGAATTCACCAAATCAGAGAGAAAGCAATTAGAAAGGAATTTATTCACTTTCTGACAGCAGAAAGGGACCAGATGCCAAAAGTTGCATCAACCCTGGAGGGTGGGGGCAAGGAACTTTTATTGGGATTTAAGGAAAAGGGGACTGACTAAGGTTGGGTAATTGGGATGATCCTTGGACAGGATGCCTGTTGATCTTCCACAGTATCTGGACTAGTCCATCCGTATCTCTTGTCATCATACCTAACCACTTTGGGTTGCATAGATTTGGAAGTTTGTTGATGTTTCAACATCAGCAGAAGGGTCTCAATCTCTATATCTGAAGATAGAAACTTAGAAAAACAAGTCTGTGGTGAGGTTCCTGAGGGACCAGCTAGCCCAAGAAGAAAAGGGGAGGAGAAAGAATGAACATTTGAAGCACCTGGGAACTTTAATGAGCCTTCCCCATTAGAGCGTCAGTGAAACACATTGAATTGACACAATGCCAAGGAGACACTGAGACACCGAATTAACCCCTTTCCAAAGTCTTAAGGTATTTGAATGACTTTACTGCTGCGCCACTGCCTGACCCCTTTCAATTATTAATCCATATATATTTTTTCTTTTATTATTTGTTTATAACAGTTCATTTTTATTGGAATTTGCAACTTTTTCTTATAATTTAGGGAATTTTTTTTACTACTTATTTTAATCTTTATAAGGAAAACACCTTATATTTGTAAGGAAAAAAGCCACTCTTGTATTTATATACAGAAAAATTGAGTATGTATTTGCCAAAATATGAATAACTTTTATGTGATGGAATTTTGAGTGGTTTTAGTTCTCTTTCTATTAATCTCTCTTTTCCATTTATTCTATAACAGTTTTGTGGTTTTATTTTTAAAGGAGGAGAGGCTTTTGCTATAAGGCACGTGTGCTCGCCGGAAAGACAGCAAGAGACACAGAGAGAGAAAGCGAGAATTCACCCCCCAGGGATATGTCCACGCTGCAATCCTTTCTCCTCCATTCTTTTCTCAGGATCTTGGGCATGCATGCACATGCGCCTGGCATGAGTTTAAGCCACTGGGCCCAGGACTTGAACCACGGCTGACTACTTGGGAGTCCAGCGAATAGCCATTATACCAACTACTGGTCCCAAGCTTTGTACTGGTCCCAAGTTTTGTAGGTTTTTTAACCCAACAAAGAAATTCTGGTTCTTGTGACTGAAGTGTAAAGGACCAGCCTTTCTAACCACTCACTATTTTTTTTTTTCTATTTTCTGTTTTAAAGTTTCTTTCTTTCTTTTATGAGAGAAAGGGAGCATTTTTACACTATGATCCACTCCCTGCCTCTGCTTACCTGATCAAGCTCTCAAACCCGCTGTGCTCAGGGAGGGCCAGGTTGCAAATGTTGGAACTTCCCACACGAGTTCCATTTAGTTACTGCTGCGCCACTGCCTGACCCCTATCCTTGTGCCCAGTTAACTGCTGTGGCCTCTCCTGCCAAAGTGGAGACCCGGAGAGGGCCTTCAGTGCCATCCTCACATGCAAACTCCTGCCCACGTTTAGACTACATGCCTGGGCTCCGTCAGTGGAGTAGGATGTGTGAGGTGTGGTGAGAAAAGTGTCCTGATGTTTTTCTTTCTTCCTCAGCACAGCCAGCCTGCTATGGGATGGATGAGGAGGACGAGAACCACTATGTCTCATTGCTCAAGGATGTCTACAACAGCTATGACACCACAGGGACAGGCTTCCTGGACCGAGAGGAGCTGACCCAGCTCTGCCTGAAGCTTCACCTCGAGCAGCAGCTGCCTGACCTGCTGCAGATTCTCTTTGGAGATGACCTCTTCTCCAGGGTAGGTACTGGACCCCATTCTCATAAGGAAAGTGCAGAGCTCCAGTATCAGTTAAACAAAGTTGCTTCTCAAATCAAAGTTATTAGGAAATGGAATCTTGGTTTTCATTTATTTATTTATTTATTACACATTTAATCACTGTATATCATTACAGCATACCAGATGAATTTTCCCATCATGAATACACAACGTATCAATCCAGTAAAAGACATTACCATAAACTTTATCATCAACAAATTTCTTTTCATTTTGGGCTCCTTAAGTATTTTGCTTCTTTCTTCTTCCCCTTGATTCCTTCCCTCTCACCGTCCCCCATTTCCCACCCTCCTCTCCCACTGTCTCCAGTATCACCATTGCTCTCCATGCTTTATACCCTCCAATCATTCAGTTTTATAGGAGTCCTACATTATGGAAAGACTTACCTTAAGATTACTTTTTTTCTTTTAGTGTCATAATGTCCAACAGTTTGGTTTTGTTTTCCCAGAAAGATCTTTTAGTTTGTCCTGAGGTATGGGAGTAGTGGATTTGGTATGGGTGGTTGGTGAGAGGTTCACAAAAACGTAGGGTTCGATTTATGAGCAACTTGCATGCTGGTGGATCATTTAGAGACAGCTTCAAAATACCTCTGAGGCATGTTGTCTTATACAGTGTCACAGCAGAAATTCATCCAGCAGCTGGATCAAACAATTACAGGCTGCCGTTGGGAGAATAAAGTACATGGTGTTCAGAGGTGGCTGTAATTTCATCTGTGCAAGAGAGAAAATGTAAACTCAGGAGCTCTTTTTTTCCTAGGATATTCTGGGTCATCGAGGGTAGTGATCTAGATTCTAGACTATACCTGCTTTCATGATTGAAGTGCCAAAAAGCACCTCTCCCTAGTCCCAATTTTGAATGAGTTAGTGCTAAAAACAGGGCCTCTTACCTTGTTGGTCATCTTAACTTGGAAGGAAGAATATTTGCAGGATTCAATAAAACTATTTTCATTTTTGAAAGAAAAAAAAAATCTAGCCTGTAAATTTTCCTGAATTGACTCTTGGGCAAAAACAATGAAAAAAGGAAAAAATAACATCATTGTAAACAACTGAAAAAACCCATGGGCCAGAAGGTGATGTGGTGGCTAGGGTGCTGGACTCCCACGTGGCCACAGCAGTTCAAGTCCCAGACACGCCAACTTAAAGATGATACCAGGCATGTGTATGTGCATGCCCAGAATCCCAGGAGGAAGGTGGAAGAGAGGGAATTTCACTGTGGCCGTCCCCCTTTGGGGGGAGGATGTGGTTTCTCACTTTCCTGGTCTCTTTTTCTCTCTGGTGAGTACACAAACCCTACAGCAAAAACCTAAAAACAAAACAGAAAACCCCACAACACTCACTGTTGGCTTAGGGAAGAGTCCAGGTGAATCTGACCTTATGTTATTTTCCCAAAGAAACCTGCTTTGTCCACATCAGCAGGTATTGTTGCTCCCTCGGAAAGAACTCTGTCTCAGTTAGACGGACCACACCCTTTTTGTTGCTTTAATAGACTTTAATGAATCAATGTGGTTCGGGTAGATAATATTCTAGCTCCTCTTGATATCACTTGGAATTAGGGACCTAGGTAATTAAAAGATACATTTGTGAAAAATCAACATTCTGGTTTAAAAAGAAGAACAAAGTCATGTGTATGCACTAGAACTGTGTTCAGGTGAGCTGCACAAGAAACCAGTACAAATGGAATTCAGACAAGCCTAACTAAGACGTGTCTAGTGCCACGGGTCTTAAAGTGTGGTCACAGACTAGGAGGATGATCTGGAAGTTATCAGTGCATGTCTTCAAGGCCCATTACTGATCTACTGGATTGGAGACTGAGAGAGGGCCCAGGAATCTGTGTTCACACAAGGCCCCTGATGATTCTGATAGGCATGCAAGTTCAAGAAGCACAGCACCAGTAAGTGCTGCTTGCAGTGTTACCAAGGAGGCCCTTCACATACATTTCAGAATATTCCGAACTCCAGCTTAACGTTTCTGTGGATGGCAAAGTTGTGCTTTTGGTTTTGTCTCCAGAGTCTTCTTTCTCTTCTCCTGAATTCTGAGTGATTCGATCTATACTGCTGAAAACCTACAAGGCAAATAATCAGAGCTTATTAATATCTTCTAGAAAGAGTTTGTCAGAAAAATTCCCATGTCCTAGGAGAAAAACCTGAGAGTATGAATAAAGCCTGAACTGGGACCAGGAAAAAAAAAAAAAAAAGAAAGAAAAGTGTCCTGATGTTTTTCTTTCTTCCTCAGCACAGCCAGCCTGCTATGGGATGGACGAGGAGGACGAGAACCACTATGTCTCATTGCTCAAGGATGTCTACAACAGCTATGACACCACAGGGACAGGCTTCCTGGACCGAGAGGAGCTGACCCAGCCCTGCCTGAAGCTTCACCTCGAGCAGCAGCTGCCTGACCTGCTGCAGATTCTCTTTGGAGATGACCTCTTCTCCAGGGTAGGTACTGGACCCCATTCTCATAAGGAAAGTGCAGAGCTCCAGTATCAGTTAAACAAAGTTGCTTCTCAAATCAAAGTTATTAGGAAATGGAATCTTGGTTTTCATTTATTTATTTATTTATTACACATTTAATCACTGTATATCATTACAGCATACCAGATGAATTTTCCCATCATGAATACACAACGTATCAATCCAGTAAAAGACATTACCATAAACTTTATCATCAACAAATTTCTTTTCATTTTGGGCTCCTTAAGTATTTTGCTTCTTTCTTCTTCCCCTTGATTCCTTCCCTCTCACCGTCCCCCATTTCCCACCCTCCTCTCCCACTGTCTCCAGTATCACCATTGCTCTCCATGCTTTATACCCTCCAATCATTCAGTTTTATAGGAGTCCTACATTATGGAAAGACTTACCTTAAGATTACTTTTTTTCTTTTAGTGTCATAATGTCCAACAGTTTGGTTTTGTTTTCCCAGAAAGATCTTTTAGTTTGTCCTGAGGTATGGGAGTAGTGGATTTGGTATGGGTGGTTGGTGAGAGGTTCACAAAAACGTAGGGTTCGATTTATGAGCAACTTGCATGCTGGTGGATCATTTAGAGACAGCTTCAAAATACCTCTGAGGCATGTTGTCTTATACAGTGTCACAGCAGAAATTCATCCAGCAGCTGGATCAAACAATTACAGGCTGCCGTTGGGAGAATAAAGTACATGGTGTTCAGAGGTGGCTGTAATTTCATCTGTGCAAGAGAGAAAATGTGAACTCAGGAGCTCTTTTTTTCCTAGGATATTCTGGGTCATCGAGGGTAGTGATCTAGATTCTAGACTATACCTGCTTTCATGATTGAAGTGCCAAAAAGCACCTCTCCCTAGTCCCAATTTTGAACGAGTTAGTGCTAAAAACAGGGCCTCTTACCTTGTTGGTCATCTTAACTTGGAAGGAAGAATATTTGCAGGATTCAATAAAACTATTTTCATTTTTGAAAGAAAAAAAAAATCTAGCCTGTAAATTTTCCTGAATTGACTCTTGGGCAAAAACAATGAAAAAAGGAAAAAAATAACATCATTGTAAACAACTGAAAAAACCCATGGGCCAGAAGGCGATGTGGTGGCTAGGGTGCTGGACTCCCACGTGGCCAACAGCAGTTCAAGTCCCAGACACGCCAACTTAAAGATGATACCAGGCATGTGTATGTGCATGCCCAGAATCCCAGGAGGAAGGTGGAAGAGAGGGAATTTCACTGTGGCCGTCCCCCTTTGCGGGGAGGATGTGGTTTCTCACTTTCCTGGTCTCTTTTTCTCTCTGGTGAGTACACAAACCCTACAGCAAAAACCTAAAAACAAAACAGAAAACCCCACAACACTCACTGTTGGCTTAGGGAAGAGTCCAGGTGAATCTGACCTTATGTTATTTTCCCAAAGAAACCTGCTTTGTCCACATCAGCAGGTATTGTTGCTCCCTCGGAAAGAACTCTGTCTCAGTTAGACGGACCACACCCTTTTTGTTGCTTTAATAGACTTTAATGAATCAATGTGGTTCGGGTAGATAATATTCTAGCTCCTCTTGATATCACTTGGAATTAGGGACCTAGGTAATTAAAAGATACATTTGTGAAAAATCAACATTCTGGTCATTTAAGCAGTATAAACTGATGAGCCATTTTTCTTGATAGTTTTGATCACCTACAGGCAGTGATCTTCTCAGCAGAGTCATATGCATGTGTGTGTCCCCACCCGTCTCTTCTCTCTCTGTTCCAATGGCATTCTCTTGGTAAATCCAAATCTAAAAGAATAACTTTGAGGCCTGGGTTCAGATTTTTTTTTCCAGCCAATTCATTTTATAGGTGAATGATCTGACACCAAGACGAAGTAAAATGATATGCCTAAAAGTCACACAGGAGAGTGTTGGAGAAAACCAAGATTAAACCTTTTATCCAAGAGAATGGATTAGTTTTGCAGATTAAATACCACATTCCAAGCACCAGATCCAAGATGGCGGCCAATAGGAGGCTGCTGAAGGAGCTTGAAGAAATCCTCAAATGTGGAATGAAAAACCTTCGTAACATCCAGGCTGATGAAGCTAATTTTTTAACTTCACAACAGCTTTTTTTTTTTTTAAAGAATTATTTAATTATTTTATTTATCCATTTATTTATTTATTTATTTATTTATTTATTTATTTATTTATTTCCATTTGACCAGAGAGAAATAGAATGAGAGAGAGAAAGAAAGCAAGCAAGCCACCAGGTGGTCCAGGACTCAAAGCATGGTCTGCTATGTGGGAGTCCAGCACCCTTAACCACCATGCCACCTGCCGGCCCCAAAGGCTTATTGTTTCTGACAGCCCTCCATATGAAAGGGGACCTTCAGAAACAAAATTAGCTTTCCGGTGGAGTATCCATCCAAACCACCGAGATCACATTTAAAACAAAGATCTATTACCCAAACATCGATGAAAACGGGCAGGTCTGTCTGCCAGTAATTAGTGCTGAAGACTGGAAGCCGGCTACCAAAACTGACCAAG